AAAACTGTTGTAAGGAAAGAATCTCCTACATCTTGGGATAAGCGTGGCTCTGCTGGAGAGCTAGGAACACCCTCCTTCCCTGCCTTCAGGAAGCATTTTGCCCAGGAAATATTCTTAATATGATATTAAGGTCTTTGATAACCTCTTGGAATTTTCTTTAAGCAAATTAAGAAAGAAGAGACAGACACATATGAAATCTATGGCATAGCAGTTTAGTAGGGAACTTTAGTCTTGCTTTTATCCGTTTTTGAAAATAATTGCTGAAAGGCATGAATTTATTTTTATTTGGCAACAGAGAAACAATGCAAACTTTAAAACCCTTAGCCTACCTTAACCCCTGATGGACCATGATAGGGACGCCACCAGCCCAGTCACTGGCCACTGGACTGCTATGGATTAATGCATGTTTCTATTCTAATTGACTTAGTTTTTCCAAATCGAAATAAAACAAATAGATCCGCCTAAATACACAGCCCCCAGCCTTGTGTGTGTGCAGCATGACAAAACTTGCAGAAGATCTGCACAGAGAGAATAGGATGGAGATGGATATCCTTGGAGCGCCCTCAGAATTGGTACCTGCCACACAACTGCCTGTTTTCAGAGTCAGGAAAACAGTCGCACCATGAGCTATCAACTTCCTGAAGAAAGCTACTTGCAAAAGATTTCCACTCTTGCAAAGACAACCAAGTCTGTGATGGACTGTAATCCGAAGGAAACTTCCCTCCTCGGAGTGGACTGTGGGCTCTGACGCTCAGGTGCCCATCCCAACTTCATCTCCCAGGCAGCAGAGCTGGGAGTCTCATCCTGAAGAAGGGGTGGACTACATTTACTTTTCTTTCCATTTAAGCCCCTCTGAAGCAGGAGCACCTTGGCTCCCTTTGAGGAATTGGTGAGGAGAGAGGGTTTTTTTAAACAGGGAAAATCATTTCTGCTCATCTGTTTGTCTCTCCCCTAGGATGGAAAGCCCTGAAAACATTCAACTTGATCCTTCCCTTTACCAATTGTTCAGAGACTAAAGGTGCTTGGAAAAGCTCCCCCGCCCCAGTTCCCTACTCTTAAGCAGAAACTTTGGAGAAAAACCGAAGGCAACTTTTCTTTCCTTCTTCCATTTCCTTTTCCTCTCCTCCTAATTTAGTTCTCTTAAAAGACAACTTCATCACCTTCTCTGAAACAAGCAGTTTCTGGATATGATTTTTGTTACAATGTGTGTGTGCCTGTGTGTGATTTTTCAGAGGCTGATGCCGGAAGGCAGCAGGCTAGGGAGGCAGACACCTCTTCCCAGGCTCTCAGGGAGGCGAGGGAAGCTGGAGCATCCCAAAAACTAGCTGCCTGAATCAGGAGCAAAGCAACAAACTTTACAAGTTACAAATGGGCTGGGCTGCACCCGTGGCAGACAGCAGCCGGGCATCTCCTTCTCAGAGTGCTCATTCCTGACTCCAAGGCTGTGTGGAGATAGTGGGGTATAATCAAGGGAATAAAAAGGGGGGTGTTTCCCCCTTTCCCTCCAGCTTTAGTGAAAGTGTTACAAAGTGAGTCAGGCGACTGAGGATCATCTGACTGAACTTTCTTGAAACGGACACACATTCTTACTTGCTTTTTGCCTCCTTCCCCCTCACCCTACTCCCCCTTTCCTTCGGCACATCTTATTTTCTGGGAAGAGATTTCCTCCTTTCCATGTGGGGGAAAGGAGACTGTCTGCCTGCTTTGGGTTAGCTTGGCCCTGGCACTGTCTTTGCCAGGCATCTTGCTAGCCTAAGAATCTGGAAGCTTGGAAATTAGATTCTTGTTTCTCTGTACATTTATTTTCTTTGAACTATCTTTGTCTTTCTCCTGTGCTTTTTAGTAACTGTACACAGCATTGTTTTCCAGCCTATGATCTCAACCAGCTTTTAACACACACACACACACACACACACACTGCTTTATGTTTATCTCATCGCCTTGGTGTATACACTGTTGACTTCATTAAAATTATATAAAGTGCCGTTCTAGGTTCTTGGATGACCATTGTTTTCTTTTTTCTACTTCTAGCTTCTACTTCTATGATTATTTTTGTCATTATTCCTTTCCAGGAATTTCTATATGATGTTGATAAGCATCATCATATTTAGTGTTATCAGCAAAGACACAAGCTCAAAGTGACATCTTTTCCATGAATCCAGGAAAGAAGAAAAATCCACTCAGTTCAGATAAATCCTGGCAATTCCCAAAGGAAAAAGGCATTAGATACATGTTTGATGAGAAAGAAAATGAAAAAGGTATGTGGGTGGGGGGTCTCTTCTACCTGCTTCTCAAAACCAGGACATTGCTCAGTCACATTAAACCCAATGAAAGCACTGACAAGTAACCCATTTACAGCATGTTTTCTCATAGATTATTTGGAAAAAGAGACAGGTAATAGTCAAAGTTAGAAAGACTGTAAGCAATAGACAGACTTATGTTAAATGTGCAGGGTCTGGGCCGAATTCCTTAAAACACCTAATTCAACTTTACGTTTCTGAGTGTGGAGGCTTCTCCCAGATTGGTAGCCGGGTGGTGGAGAAATGGATGCAATGTCCCCAACTGCACACCTCCTTGGCACTCCATTCCACCTGCGAAGCCCCCAACAGGACTCCTTCACAGCTAGCAACACAGAGTGTCCCCAGGAAGCTGGGCTCTCTCCTTCCCCAGAACTGGGCTCTGACCTAGCCTCAGTGCTGGGGCCAGGCTGGTCATCAGTGGCAAAATCCTACAGGGGGTGGAAGGAGGAAGGGGGAAGAAACACTCTAAATAGTCTTTTCTGTATCTTCTCTGCAAAAGAATACGTCTAGTAGCCCTGCTTTAAATCTTTCTCTTAAAAAAAAAATGACTGCTTAACATAAGAAAAAAAAAGCCTCCTTGACACAAAGCTTTTGTTATCCAGTTGATCAGCAATATGCTTTAGATACTTGTAAGAGGGGGAAAAAAGCCCCACAACAGACATTGATTTTAGAAAATCAATAACCAACATTTAATAAAAGGAACAGAAGAAACACAAGAGAGGAGAGAGGAACGTTAGGTGTAATTTTAGTGTCTACTAAATTACCCAGAGATGGAGAAGGGAAGGTCTCCTGTGTAAGGACCACCTTAAATAATGCCAGGCACCAGAGTGAAGAAAAATTAAATTAAAGAGAGAGAGAGAGGGAGAGAGAGAGAGAGAGAGACTTAAAAAGAGGCAGCTTGATCTGAATCTTAGGGAAGCAGCTCGGAATATATTATTGTACTTGTTTTTTTGTAATACTAAGCCAAGCAAATAGATCAAAGACAGCACAAAGAGGAAAGGCAGGATAACGTAACGAACAGTTTCTGACTAAAATTCCTCTATCACTCCCCCATATGGTTCGACACCTCCACCACAACAAGCGAAAGAGACACAGGCACACACACACACACACACACACACACACACACACACACGCACGAGAGAGA